GGTACTGCCATTCATTTTGTGTACATATCAATAGGATAGTGTGTAGGGAAATGTAAGGCAAAAGACATGGTGGTTGATAAGACAGAGTGACAGAAAACCTGCACGGATGGGCTTTTCCAATTGCAAAACCTGCAGATCATTTAATCTTCTGAGAAAAAAACTATTCAGAACTTTATTATAAAGCCATAGCAGATGGCATGAATCATCTTTTGGCTTTGCTCAGTTCTTCTTACTTGGGCCATCATGGGTCTGACAGGATCTCTCCCACTAAGAGGTAGAAGGGCTTCCCTTAGGAGCTCCCAGGGACTCACATGAACAAAGGAGTGACAAGTCACTAAGGACTGACTATCAATAACAGAAGGGCCAGAGCATGAAAACAACATACATACAAGCAAGTAATTTGGCCGGCTGACTTAGAACTCAGCCCTCTTACAGAAAAGAGAAAACATAGTTTTCATAGATGAATTAATCTGTGTTTAAGAATCAATCTTGTTAAAGATAGCATGCTTAGATGTCAAAGACTACGAATGAGGGCACTGCTCCAGCTTGAAGCATCAAGCTAACCATTTCTATTTTCAACCTTGTCTTATACCACCCACTGTCATTCTCCCAAGAGTATATATTTTTTTTTAGGTTTCATGAATGAATCTTGTATATCTGCCAGTGAACATTTGCTTCCCTGGTGAGATTTTAGTTTTAATGGTTAGAGACTTAAAAAAAATTCAATTACACCCTACTCAATTCTGGATATACCATGTTGCCTTAAGGTTTTTCCCTAGTGTTGAACAAAAAAGAAATAAATAAAGATTATACAGTATAATTCTTATTCCAAATGAGTTTGTTAGTTTCAATAGGAAAGTATTACACATGAAAATATCAGCACCACCATGATTATCTAAACAATCTAGAATATTCTACAGACTGTATGTGTTTCATGTGAACCTAAATGACATATTCTAAAAACCAGTAGAAATAGGAAATAACAGACAAGTAATAAAGAGAACATGGCTGAAGTCCTTTGGCAAAGTGTGCATGTGTACATGTGTGTTTACGAGGCACTAGAGTAGCCAAAGTTTAATATGTACCAGACACACACACTTGTTTATTTTCTAAGTTTAACTCTAAACGTATTAGGTCTTCTCTAAGTAACTTATTCCTCAGCCTGCTTAACTTTCCTCAAATGAAATTTGTGGAAGAAGTTTTTAGATAATTTAAAACAAGGATGCATGGCAGGGTCTTTCTAGCCATAACCTCTGTGTCTAAACAATTTCAGAAGTTCCTGCCGGACTCCATCCCTTTTTGTAAATTACTTCTTATGTAGATTATCCACTCTTCCAATGAAGGATTTTTTGCAATGGTGAGTTCAACATTTGAATTCCATGGTGATGTTTTCTTTTTTCATAGTAGTAACTGCAGTCTAGGATTAGGAAGGGTTACATCGAAATACTGCGTATTGCTCTAAACACTCTTCTGAATGTCAGTTCTCTCAACCGTATAAATTGTTTTACAGGAAACATCATTTGCTATCGCTCTCTTTTTGCTGCCATCTGTCCTCTGAGTCTAGAGCACTAGTGAATGTTGAGGTCTAGATGCCGATGCCTACAGATGCGGTGCCACCCTGCCCTGCTTAGCTGACAGCAGCTACCCATGCACCCCCCACTCAGCAGAAGGAGAGGCCCACTCCCTGCCATGCTCACTCTAGCTGAACTTCGACAGTTTGACTCCATGACAGCGTATCATGTTTAATAACGGCCTCCACGGCAATTAATTCCCCAGTAATTTCTGAATCTGTATTCCCTATTCAATCTGCTAAGAACCATGAAGTTATTTTAAAATCTGCAAGATCCCAAATACTGGCATACTATAAACTCTCAAAAATAAATATGTCGAGAATTCTCTAACACAAAAGTTAGTTTTTCTCCCCTTTCAGATGATGGAGTTTTCAATTATTATTCATGTTATTTTCTTTGTCTTTAGCTGATGCCAATGGAAAAAGTACTGTGCCTTGCATTCACTAATGTGACTCACATTCCTAGTGATCTCAACAAATCCCCAAGAGGTAGAGAGGTACCGAGGAACCTGAGGGTTTGAGGTTTCCTCCTTGTCCCTATTCCAAGCACACACAGCCATCTACTAACCCAGGAGGGTAGGACACAATTCGTTTTCTCAGTATAGGAGTAATGGAGCCATACATTTAGACACGGCCTAGCCCCTTTGCTTGCAGCGTGCTGACCTGAAGCTTTAGCCTATCTGCTGTCTAGCAAGCTGTGTGAGAGCAGGCTGAACATCTGGAAAGGAGATTGGCCTTGCAAGTAACAGTTCTGTCTGCTGCAGCTTCCTCTCAGGCAGTACCTTCAGCTTACACTTGTAAGGGCTGACTATCAAAACGCCAGGGCTCATGGTTACTAAGTATAAGATTGCAAGGCTAGGTCTCAGGAAGTGGGTAAGGATCCGGGCATAGCCCAGGCTTAGCTGGAGAGCAATTGCAGCCTCAGTACACTGTTATTTGAGCTCCCCTCTGCAATTTCTTCCTTTTAGATAATTTTTGCCCCAAAACTAACCCCAGTGCTTATTCTGGTGCTAGTTTAATGCCACTCCTGACCCACTCCTAGAGAACTCGGACCTCTTTCCTGTAATTTTCAGCTTCACTTACAGGCAGAGGTTGGCTGTAGGTCAAATCAATAGAGTTACAGGGAGAGGCCTATTCCTTCTCATAACCATGGCTGGTTATTTATCACGTGTAGGGCCATGATGGAACTGGCTTGCTACACTCTAAAAATATAGTGGTTTCCAGATAACCTGTATTTGGAGACTATAGGTTTCCCTCTGCTTATGCCCATTTTGGCAGGAGCAAATGTTAAAAAATTCTCGACATGGAAAAGTAAGGAAAACAGCTTCATTCTCTAGTGTGTTCTGCAGCCTCCAGATAACCCGTGCCACTGAGTGGGGTGTGCCTGTTAACTTCAGCAGTACTTAAAAGAACTGTCACTGTAAATGAGATGGGGTCACAGTCATTTCTAAAAGGATGGAGAATCAGCTTAGTGTGTCCAGCAGAAGCTATGATGTTGGCAGGCTAAGTCTGAATCTGAGATTCTGGTCTTTATGTGAGTGTAAGGTGGCTCTAAATTATGGGTTTTTTATTTCTCCTCAATATTTCATGGATAAGAAAATACTCCAGCGAAACTGCCTAGAATTTCAGGGGAGAAATACTTTTTTTTTCTCTTCAAAGACTCTATTTAGAGTTCAGCAAGTTAAAAAACACAGATAACTAACTTCTGCTGCTAGAAAATTTAATTAAAAGTTATAAAGTTGAGAATTTCACCGGGTAAGGGCCAGTTGTTTGCCAAACCTTTGCCCAGTACCTTAACAGACAGAGGATGTTTAAAATGACTTCACATTTAGTATTGTCAAAAAAGAACCCAAAGAGGAGGCTGGTGAGATGGCTCAGTGGTTAAGAACATTGGCTAGTGTGTGTGTGTGTGTGTGTGTGTGTGTGTGTGTGTACACTGAAATGTTCACCCAATGACGAGGGCATAGGCAGTTGGCTATCCTGCCTATTGCACCAGATCTGGATGTGGGGTTCCACTTCCTTTTCAGTGCAAGGCTTTACATAATGCAGCCACAGTGTGTTAGGGCAGCATTAACCTCGGTTCCTGTGTGCTTACCAAGGAGGTGCTTATAAATGTTAAGGAGCCATTTGGGTACTGGGAACTAACTAGTCCATTCTAATGTCATGACCCAAGCTTCCTCAGTCTCATGTCTCCTCCCTCCCACTTACCAGTGTTGCATTCTAGGGATCACCTAGACAGAAGAGGAGGAAAGCCAAGTTCATTTTGAGAAACGTTGATGTCCTTAGTCTTGGTTCTACTTTCTTAGTATCTTCATTCAGGGAAAGCCTCAGAGAACAGACCCTCAAATCCCCCACTGAAAAATGTTCTTGGGCTAGATGTGTGTGGAACTCATAAATTTGTTTTCAGAAATGGTGCTAATTGTAGGCATGGCACAAAACCTTTAGGGGTGGCTCAGTTACTTCACTGGAACAGTGAAGATGGGCACCTTCACAATGTGTGGGATAAGAACAGACAGAAGTAGCAAGAAATAAGTTTATCAAAAAAATCTGGGTGTTAAATTTACAAGAGAACTAACTTGCAGATTCCTGGACATCTTAGGTTTTGAGATTGAGGCAAAGAGATTTTAAATCTGCACAAGGTTTTCAAAGAGCTATGTCAAAGGAACCCATTTGTTTTGAGAGAGGAGGAGGTGTTATATACAAACAGCTTATGAAGTCTTTTCAGAAGGCTTTAAACACAGTTTGACTAGAAGGGCCAGGCACAAAGCTGAGATAAATGGGTTGTCCTTGTCTGTGAGATCCTGCCATGTGACTATGACATATCCTGTTCTAAAGAGTCAATCTATGACAACACTGGTGTCAAGGAATCTGAGCTGCCTTGCTGTGCTACAAAGAAGAGGATCAGAGGCGGGGGGTGTTACTAACTTTTCTAAGGCCAATCTGAACATTCCCAGACTAAAAGAAAAACCAACAGGACAAGACTGTTGCAGCCAACTGGCTAACACTATGATTCCCAACATGGAGGAATCACACAGCCTGCTTTTTCGAGCATATATAGGTCCCGACTCTCTCTGAGCGGGCGAGTTCTGCTTGTTGTTTTGGTTTTTGTTTGTTAGTTTGAGCCAGGGTCTCATAATACATCCTTTGTTATGGATCTCATGCAAATGTGGAATTTGTTATGTAGCCCAGACTGGCATCAAACTTACAACCTTCCTGTCTCGACCTTTCAAGTGCTGAGATTACAGGTGTGAGCCACTAGTCCCATCAACAGAAATGTATGAAAAGCCCAAATCACTGAAATTTTAAACATTGGCATGGAACATTATCTCCTGGCCTATTGTGCTAAAGACTACATATATGGGGGGAGGGAAGGATGTTCTTAGACTTAGGGGCTTGTCACCAAAGGTAAGAAAGAGAGATCAAGGCTTACTTGGCTTCCAGGGCCAGGGCAATGATGCCAGCAGCCATGGGGGCTGAGGCTGATGTTCCAGTGTGATTGTCTGTGCATCTCTGCCTTAGATCAGTAGTGATCTGAAAGACAAAAGTGAAAAAAAATAATTAGACCCTGAGGATAGTCATGGTCATAGCAAGAAGTTTACTCACAAGAGGAATTAAAGATTAATTTTAAATTTAATGTTTCCAGACTTGTGTGACCATTCATTTTCAAAGAAATGCCTGTATAAACCAAATTTAGCTGGAAATTGCCTTCATTAAAACCAGAGCAGGACTAGGGTGAACCACAGCTCAGAACTTCAAGGTATCGCCTAAGAGTCTGCAGTGCACCCTTTCGCGTCCCGCCTTAGTTCTTGGATTGCAATGGAAGTCATTTCAAGGACCTGCATTTTAGACTAATTAAATTGTGTGGAATGAACATCCAGACACCAAACCAGGTATCACAAGATAAAAGGATAAACTATACAGCCCCTGATTTGTCCAAAGTATAACTAGGGGAGTGATAGGTTTCAAACAAAATGTCTCTGCCACTGAGGTAGCCCTTGCTTGTGGACTTTTCTAGAATTTATAAAAATGTTGCACGGATAAATTAAGGCTTCTTCAAAAGTTTCACAGCTTCACAACAGGAAACCCAAGGGTGGAGCTCCTGTATCTCACACACAGTTAAGACAGTGTCTGCTTGTACTTTATACGTAGGCGATTAGCTACTTTTTCATTTTTACCTTGCAATCAAATTGTGAAAACTAGATCATTTTATTTTCTTGGCTTGAATCCAGTTCACTTCTGCTCTGACTGAATTCTATTACCATCCAGCAGAGGCAACGGTTCCCAGCCTGTGTTTCATTATTGTCTCACTACGAAAGAAAATTAAATTTAAATTCTCCTTAAAAAGAGAAATTAAGTACTATAGAATATGACTTTAGAAACCAGTGTGATACCTCTAAGATTATTTAAAAAAAAAGTCTTCCCTCCTGGACAGTAATCCATTTTGTTCCTGTGGGCTTGATTTTGTGTTTGGTGGGGAGATGAATCAGTGGGCTTGCTGCAGTTACTGGATGACATCAATAAACCTTTCTTTGGCACGAAGACAAAGAAAGGTTTGGTCACCACTTATCACAGAGAAGAAAGCTGATGTGAAAGGTAAGCAGAAAGACAGTGAGGAGACGCAGCAGAAAGCACGGCCTTTGTTTCTCTAAGAGGACCGTGAGAAAGCCAAACTTGGGGTAGCAAGCAGATGGATACCCGCCTGCACAATCACCCCTACAACTTCCTTCTATCCCACAGGAGGCTGGGTGGAATTTTCCATCATGTTAGAGAACTAGAGAAGCATCTTGGTCCACTCAGTTTCCCACAGTGGAGCATGTCTATCATTTTTCCCCCTCGTTTCTTTTGACATGTGCAATGCTATCAGATGACCTGTCTCACATAACTATGAATATGGACACAAAAGAAATGGGGGAATGAATACGTAGACCTACAGAGATATGGTTATGTAGGTAAACAGAACTGTACTCACCCATATGTAAAAGAGCTTCCTAGACCTTTAAAAAGTATAACGTAAATTAACCTTCCTGGCAATTTGTGTGTGTGTAGTATTAGTAACCACACCACTGTCTTGGATCTCTAGGACCTATCTCATCTGCATGAATGGAACTCAGAATATCTACGGCTATGCCTTCTGCTGCCCATCACTATTGTGCTTTCCGTGTTGGTGTGTTTGAGTAAGTAGCTGACCTAAGGGAAATAAATCACTTAGTATCTGTCCCTTATTGATTGCATTAATTCACTTATTTGATGTTCTGAAACTTCATCTATATTGTCGCATATGACAGGGTTTCCTTCTTTTTTTTTTTAAAGTGACTAATACTCCATTGTGCTTTACTCCATAAATTCCTTGTGTGTTGATGAACATTGACTTTGCTTCCATATTTGGATGCTGAACAGTGCATCAAGTGTACACAAGAGTGCACAGCACTTCCTAAAATCTGATGTAAAATGCTCTTGAATATAATACCAGAAGTGGAGTTGCAAGATTATTAGTTTCCAAGGGATTTCTGGGGGTGGGAAGATGCCTCAGTGGGTAAAACGCTATCTGTGCAAGCATGGTGAGCTGAGCTTGATCCGATAACATTATGTAAAGGTGGAAAGAGAACTGTTCCCAGCCTCCATACATGTTATGTTTTAACAATAAATAACGTTTTAAGAAGGCATTTCTTCCCCACTTGAAACCATAGGGGATTCTCTACAGTTATTTTTCTAAGGTTACTAGTCTCTGAGTCCAACCATGAATGTATCAGAAATGGCTTATTTCTAGGTCTCTCTGTCTTTGAGAGATGGTCTGGAGAGATGAAAATTTTCTTATTTTACCTCATTCATCGTCACATTTGTTTGTGCAGGTGTTAATTTTTTCCCATAAATTGTGCCTGGATTCAAGCCTTTTCATGACATTCTTCTCCTTACTCTTCAGTCATACAAGACACTTGCAGTGCGGGTCCAGAATAGACATGCTAAGAATGTGCAGTACTTTTGAACATTACAAACAACCATCTCTGGCCAAACACGAGCAAGGAACAGTTTATGAGGTCGGGTAAATAGCACAAATATTCCTCATCCTTTTATAGGCACCAGGCACATACACATATCATGTGCTTATATAAAGAGCTACTTAGGACTGCCACCTAGAGACGCCAATATCAAATGCTGTCAATTTTGACAGTGCTGTGTGGAAGTCAACTCATCATTGTTCTCTACCATTTTTTTTTCAATCATTTGAACTAAATTAGTTGGATGGGAGCTGAGCAGGAAGCTGATGGTACCCTCAAGGGGGAAGAAAAGAAAAACAAAGATACCTCCCTCCCTTCTCTGCTCTAAGTGGATTTCCAGAAGGGTCACTTCAATGGGAAGCTACTGTCAGTGGGAGAAAAAGTGAGGTGTAAATTATCAAGAGCATCTAAGGTAAGGTTCTCACCATGAAAATGAGGAAGAATACCAGGGAATATTTATGTCTATCTGCACTGGGGGATGTGCAACTGAAAGAAAAATGATGGTTCAAAACTGGAGCCATCAGGGATAACTCCACTTATCACAAGATGCCAGAAACAGGATTTTAGGATTTGCCAGTGCATCCCAAAGGAAAGTGGCCTCCAGCGCACAGCCTGCAACACAGGGTGGATACGCTCTGACTTCAGACTCCCTCGAGAATGTCTCAGAATTTGGTCTCCATCCCGGTGGCAGTCTCGCATGCTCCAAATTCCCTCAATTCACCAGCCAAATCAGAAACAGAATTTGTATCCAAAAGGACTGAAGTTGCTCAAGCAAATATCATTTGCGTCCATCACCGAGAAGGAAACTGGAGAGGGCGCAGGCCCCGAGCAGATCAAAGCTATCCTCATGGGCAAATTAGATTTCCAGCCTCATAGGATCAGTAGCAGATGGGGTTTTGGCCTCCACAGAGTTAGGGATGTCATCTTTTCTTGGTGAGCTAGGCAGAGTATTGTTCAGCTGCAGCCAGGATCCCTGAGAAGAAGCATCCCTTTCTCCCTAGGCTTTTATTTCCTAATACTTCACAGCTCATTATTGGAGCTGATTGGGCTTTTGATTGTTGCCTCTTGATGCCATTCTCCAGGGAATCTCAGCACAGATTGACTTGGGCCCCAAGTGACAAGTTTTACAGCAACCTCCAGTAAGTACCCTCTCTCTCCCTGATGCTCTGCGATCCTTTTTATTTTGGAGGTGCCAGACTGCCTCATACCTGTTAAGAGAGCAACTGAAAAGATATTTTTAAAACATGAAATGATTTTGCTGTCTGTTAGGCTGGACTCGTTTCTTGTGCTGGCTCGGATCTGGTTTGGAAATTTTGGTAGGTGAACTGTTTTAGATACAGTGATTGGGGTGAAGGGAAGACAGAAGGAATAGAATTTGTATCATTATTAAGCACAATGACATGGAATGAAATTAGGATCAGTGAATGATTTCTGCATCCATAGATAGAACCAGGATGGGTGTGGAATTTAGGGAGAAGGAATAAGTCAATGTAAAACATCACTCTCATATTGCTAAGAGAACCTAGAAGTGTGAAGTGCAAGAGATGTTGCTGCTTCTCCAAACCAGGATCCTGTCTCGTGTCATTTCTGTGCCATCATAATGTACAGCTGAGTTCCGTATGGCAACAGAAGCCAAGTATTTCTTTGCTAAGTTGAAGTGCTTGCCTTAAGCTCTCTTGGATTCACTTCGTTTTATACTCTGAAGTTTTCCATTCATTTAGAAACACTTTAAGGTCACTTTTCTTTTGATCATTCAATCAGGACTCCAAGAAATGTATACTCAAGCTGCAGAAGTTACACCTGTACTAATTTATGATCCAAGGATTCAAGCGTAGTCTCATAATTCCTACCTCAAGGCTTCCCATCAAATGACCACCAGAACCAACTGATACTAAGTGAGAGAGTACAGCCACATGTAGAACATCCCACACACCCACAGGAGGTTTGTAAAGAAGGTACTAACAGCTAAGGAAAAGGAAGATCAACAAGGCTAGTGATCTTGTTCCGGGATGTATAGCAACAAAGCAGCAAGTGAGGAAGATATTAAATCCTGAATCATCAACGTAAGCAAAAGCAGCATTAGAGTACAATCCCCTGTGAGGATAAGCATGACAGAATCAAATCTTCAGTCAGGGCAGAACAGCTTTGGTGGCCCAGCCTGCCAGCAATCAGGGACAGCAAGCCGAATTCTCTTCATTCTTTGGTACATTCTGAGGAGTATGTGGGTCAAACTACTGAACACATCTGGTCTTGCTCTTCTGTTTACTTACTCTTGAAAAAGAACGAGATTTTTCTAAACTCAAAGGAACAGAGATGACTGGGGAGGATCTGGTGCTCATAGTGACTGCATTGGAAACACGGTGGGGTGCAAGAGGAAGCTGGAGACCTGGACTCTGCAGGAGGAATGTGACTGCTCAGGAGCCTTAAGAGCAGTGGGGTAATGCCTCTAACTGGAGTTGGCCTGTGGCCACCCCTGAGATACTCCAGGCAGCATATGTGTTTTTAACACATATAAGTGAAATGGTATCAGCAGAA